AAGCAATAAAATTCTTGAAAACAACTGACCCCTGTTTGTAAGGAAATTAACACATACAAGACCAATCTGTAAAGCTGAAGGCCCTCATGGAGAAAAACGGCGCTGTTATGTTTGAAAGGTTCTGGAAGGACCTGGAATTCCACCTCCCTGCACCACTGTCTCCCTCCCCAATTTGATAACAATTGAAAACCACTGGCCCATTAAATAAGGTCCAAGGTACTTATTTAAATATACGCATCATTTTACGTAGGAGAAAAACTACAAAACAAATTTGGGCTATCAAGACGAAACACAATCCTATATAATAAGAGCCTAATATGCTAAGTGTCCAGTCGTCTTGTCATCCTTTTAACCAATCAAAGTGTAATATGCTAATGATATGTTAAGGCTGCTCAATTGCTCTCTATGACACGCAATGACCACCAGGGGGCAGAAACTCAAACTGGTAAGTTAGCTTGCTCCTGGGGCCTGACTGATCGGAACTGAGCAAGACGGGCCAGACATGCCCTGGAGCCCTCTTGCAGTCCCTCCCCAGCTGCCAACCTCCCGCATCCCTCCCTGGCTCCAATTGTTCACTGGTGGGGTCCCTCGGCCTGGCCTGCACCCTCTTGCAATCCAGGACCCCTCAGGGGATGTCAGAGAGCCAGTTTGGGCCCGATCCTGCAGGCCAGGCTGGGGACGCCACTGGTGCATGAATTCCTGCACCAGGCCTCTAGTGAAGTATAATAGGGACGTGGTGCCCCAGCAGACATGATTTTTGTTTTTTCCTTGTTGAATATATCGATTTAAAAAGGAAACAGCTGACCCCTGTTTGTAAGGAAATTAACACATACAAATTAACACATAACCACATGGCTTAGTGGTTGAGTGTTGACCCATGAACCAGGAGGTCACAGTTCGATTCCTGGTCAGGGCATATGCCTGAGTTTTGGTCTTGATCCTCAGTGTGGATTGTGCAGGAAGCAGCTTATCAATGATTCTCTCTCATCATTGATGTTTCTGTCTCTTCCTCTCTGAAATCAATAAAAATAAATTTGAAAAGAAAGAAACAAAATCTCAGCTCAAAGTCTCTAGACTTCCAGCCCAGAATTCTTCCCCAAATTTCCTTTTGCATTTTTTTTTTAATACATAAGAATATTCACGTGCACCATCCTGGGAAGGAGACATCACTCTAACCAGAAGCTAGCATCCCTGTGGGTTGGGGAGTTGCTCCCTTTAGTGAACTTGCATAGAACTCATTTCCTCAGAATCCCTCTTTTGCTAAGTGTCAAGTTCCAAATCCCCACTACTCAAGGACTTCATTCATTTCTCCCTTCTTCTCTATCCCTTCTTCTTCCCATCCACTCATTTACGTACCCATCCGTTTATCCATTCACCATCCATCCGACTCAATGTTAGTGAATACCTGCTGTGCTAGTTCTTGGGGCTATGATGGTGAACAACACCAGCGTGAGGTCTGCTTGCCCTCAAAGGACTTACAGCCCCTTACTGCCAGTGTGGGATGACGTGGAAGGGATTCTATAAGTGGTTCTGGAACTGTTAATAATACTGTAGATGTGCCCACCTTACTTTCTCCATCATCATCATTTCACCATCGTTAATTTTTACCAATAGAATCACTCGCCTCCCCCTTTTTTTTATTCCAATAGAATCTCAGCAGAAACTCAGAGGATAAAACAAATATAAGTGGGTGGGTCTGGTTAAAGGCAGAACAGTCCAATTAGTTCCTGCCCTGCAACCCACAATTCCTTTCATTTTGCCCTTGAGTTACCTCCTCACACAGCCAAACCTGAAGATTACTGACCTTAGTCTCTGTCCTTGGTCTGACATCTATTTATATAAAAGGTTAATGTGCACAGTGTCCCCTCAGGAGTTCGACCGGGAGACCGGGAGTTTGATCACTCGCTATGACATGTGTTGACCACCAGGGGGTGGCACGGAATGAAGGAAGGCCCCAATTGGCCCTGATTGCTGAGCAGGCCTAGAGACTCTACCTGTGCACGAATTTTGTACACTGGGCCCCTAGTAATGTCATGTTGTGCTAGTGCTCTGTGTAAAGCTATTCTTCAGTTATGCTAATGCCCCAGCTATAGAGGAATCTGGGATAAATGTATAAACGCAGGCCCAAAGACCTCAGAAACTCCAGAATTGGTAACTGGTAGCCTCCTTATGTCCTTTCAGTTTCTAGCCCCAGAGCTTGTCTTGGAGCCACGGGAATGGGACAAGGGACACCCTTGAGCATTTTTTTCTCCAGTGCCCAGACCCATGTATTTACCTGTCCTGTCTCAGTTGAGATACTGAAAACAATGTAACTGCACAAACAACCTCCTAAAATCAACAAAGGACAAAGGAGTTTATGCACATGTTTGTTTGGACTTTGGGTAACTTGAAATTATTTAATCATGCTTAATTTCCTGGAGGGGGAGGGTAAGTTCCATCATAATTTGAGACAAGTGGCAGTTTTGCCTCTGGCAGATTTAAATGAGGAAGTGAATGCTGGGATCCAAACAGCCTCATGAATGTGCATCTGTGCCCATGGTCTTAATCAGCCTCTTTGTTTCGCTTCTTTCTTTCCTGTGGTGGTTGTAGCAGCCTTCCCTCCGCCTGCCCACGTGGTGCAGTGACATTTGCACAGAGCAGGGCCCCCGGGCTTTCTCATTTGCATTGCGCTCCAGCCTTTTCTGAATGGCCACCAAGAAAAGGACCCCATCCTTAGAAGAAAGTGATCCCCAGATTCAGAGCTCAAGTGTTTTAAGTTTTTCTACCTCCCTGAGTGATGGGCTGCCTGTGATTCCTCCATTCTGACTCTGCCTCTATGAGTTTCTTATTCTGTTCCTCTTCCCTCTCCTGTCTTCTCTGGCACTTTAATGAATTTCAGATTCAACTCGGGAAAAAAAAAAATCAAGAAAGAGATTTTCAAAAAAGCAAATAGCTATTTAGTAAACTTATAAGATATTCACATAGGCCAGGGAATGGCTGATTAATTTTATTAACCACCTCCCCTGCAGTGTTTAACAATTATTTCTTGAATTTGAACGCCTTTGGACTTTGCACATGCTTGCCAGTTTCTGACATTCTCTGTCATATTTCACACCCACCCGACTTTATATACGTACTAGAGGCCCTATGCACGAAATTCGTGCAAGGGCTCAGCGTTCACAGCCATGGCAGCTTGCTTCGGCCCTAACAGCCCTAACTTCGTCTGGAAGGTTATCTAGAAGGGCGTCTAGAAGGTTATTATAGTTAGCATATTATGCTTTTAATATTATAGATATTACTAGCCTGGTTTTACAGTCAGCCTGGTCCCTTCCTGAATACCAAGGCTTTCCCAGGAGGTCTTCCTTAAGAATCTTCTTTGTGCAACTTAGAGTTCTAGAATTTTATAAAAAGCATTGCTACTGTGCATATATTTATATCAAATGGGAGGAGTCATTAAAAGGTGGAAATACAGTATTCATTTATAGAAAGTGGTTAAAAGAAAATACAAGTTGTATTCATTGCTGGGAATGTTATAGGATGTCAGGCAGTAAATCTTACTAATAATTTATAAATGGACTCAATAGATTTTGTGCATAACCTTGTAAATTTCACTTAGATTAGGTAGTTAAGTCTGGATAATGGAGCTAGTTGAGCCTGAAACATCACAGGAGGCAAAAATGACAAAACGGAAGCTGTCCTACTTTGGGCATATCATGAGGAGTCAGAGTTCTTTAGGAAAGACAAAAATGCTGGGAAAATAGAAGGCAGCAGAAAAAGAGGAAGTCCAAATGTGGAGTGACTTCATGAAAGAAGACATAGGTCTGTGCCTACAGGAGCTGAGCAGGCCTGTTGAGGACAGGACACGTTGGCCATCACTCAGTCATAGGGCCACCAGGAGTCAGAGCCGACTCAACGGCACCTACAACAAATAGAGCCTTGATTTGATCTTAGGATTCTTGGTGTTGTATAACTTGATAGTGAATGGGTCCTTTATATAAGTACTAGAGGCCCAGTGCACAAAATTTGTGCATGGGTGCAGTCCTTAGGCCTGGCCAGCATTCAAAGCGCAAGCATCTGGCGTGGAAGGGCAGGTCCCAGCTGATCTCTGGGTCCCCCATGTGTCCCCCTCTGCCTAAGTCATGGCGCCCGAGTCCCCACACAGAGATGCAATGAGCGTGGCTAGACACTGTAGGCCAGGGTGCAGCATGGGACTCTGGGCCACCCACCAGTGCCACACAGAAGCCAACTGGGCAGTGCACTCTCTCCAAGCCAGACATACAAATCGGCTTCTGCACGAACCCCTGGGGAGCCTGACCAGCCTCTGCGGTCAGAAGAGGCGGCATGGTTGCAGGGAGGCCTAAGTGTGGGGACTTCCTTGGCACACGAGCCCTGGCTTCCCAGGGGAGGGTAGCAGGAGGAGTGAGAGTGACCTTGGTGACACCCCAAATTCTCACCATCACAGACCCTGCCTGGGCAATGTGGGAGGTTGGTCCCCACCCACACTTCCTGCTCGCTCTGTGGCTGGCAGCCATTTCTATTGGGGTTTGTGTATCTTCTCTAATTGAAACTTTGTATCCTTGAGTGGAGGCCTAGGCCGGCAAGGGCAGGTGGAAAGCTTGGCTTCCTCCATTGCTGGGGAAACCCAAGCCTCCCTACTGCTCTCTGTGGCTGTAGCTATCTTGGTTGGGTTTATTTGCATATTTGCTCTGATTGTATGGTGAGCGTGGCTTGTGGGTGTAATGGAGGTATGGCCAGTTTGTATATTACTCTTTTATTAGGTAGAATATACTAGTAGATTCTCAAGCATCATCCTTCCTTTCCAGTTCTTCCCTCATTTTATTCCATATCACCCCTTTACCATGCTCTGTATCCGTTGGATGGCTGTGGTTCTTCTACTTGGGCTCTGGACACGTCTGCCTATGGAATTCTCCTGACTGTTGGTACTAAACTTGGAAGACTGTAATTTGTTTCCTCTTTTAACAAAACCCTCTCTTTTTTTTTTTCTTTTTCTATTTCCCCAGCAGATGTATGGAGTGATCACTCATTTCAGACTGACCCGGATTTGCCTCCCGGCTGGAAAAGAGTCAACGACATCGCCGGGACCTATTACTGGCACATACCAACAGGAACGACGCAGTGGGAGCGCCCTGTCTCCGCCCCATCGGACCTTCAGGGGTCGAGGAAAGGCTCGCTTAGTTCTGTAACGCCATCTCCCACCCCAGAGAGCGAGGTAAAACGGAGTCTCTTTGTAACGACTTAATAGAGTGGATGTAACTGGTGATTTCCCTTTACACTCATTGCTTCTGCCCCAACAGGTCATCGAGGTAAGCTCTTTGATTATCGTGCATGTTGCATTGGAAACCTCTTAGTAAATAGTGTTAATACCATCTTTCAGGGACGTTTTCATTTTTTAATGGCTTTTGATCTCTTGAAACACTGTTAGGTACACCAAGAAAGAGGGGCTGATTAATGAGAAGTGGTTAAGATTCCCCAGGGTTCCCAGAGGCAGCATTTCACTCTGTAGGTGTCATTGCGTGGTGCTGTCTCCATAAAATATTTACACACAGAAGAACGTCTCTTGGCCAGACGTCTTATAATTATCGCCTGTCTTACTATCCTTGGCCCTGAGGAAGAAATAGGAATGTTTAAACAAAGAACTGAGGCATTAAAAAAAAAAAAAAATCCCATTGTGGTATTTATTAACATAAAGAGTCCTGCAGAGAACCTCTGTGAATCTTGCTAATGAAATAGTCAAGAGAATTACATTTGGAAAAGGTCACAATTATATAATGGCTTTTTTTTTTTTTAATGTAAGATAAGTGATTTGATCACTGACACCAAGACATTTTTGCTTTTCTCTGACCACAATCTTGTTGTTGTTGTTTTTTTAAACAACCTATTTTCTTTTACTTTGGGTACACGGGTGACGTTTGAATTGCCTCTCTTACCTGCAAAAGCTCCTCTATATATTTGCAACTATTATCACCCTTCCCGTAGGAAAAGGAAAGAGACCTTGTTTTCTACGTCTTTGATTATTTGCTTGCTCTTGGCTGGGAGGAGGTAAAACCTACCTACTCACCACATCCTGCTGTTACCGAGCCATGTAGGATTTTGTTGTTTATCACTGGGCGATTTTGATAACATTGCATTGAAGCATCGTATTCCTGCTCTCTGAGCAAATTCCACTCAGTCAGTTATTCATCTTGCGTTAGGTGCACTGGGGGAGAAAGAGGAACCAACACAGCCCTGATGCTCAAAGAGCGTGGCAGTGGCCGCCCAGAATCTGAGCCAGGTCTCGCTGAGGCACGGACATCCTCTCTTTTCCTCACCCACACACCTTTGCTCTTGGTGTCTCTGTCAGAGTCTTTCTCCATTGCAAGGCTTCGCTCCCCTGTTGTGACCCTTCAGCCATCTTCCCCAATGAGAAGTGCCCTACAGCCAGGGTGGGAAGGGGCCATGTGACACCAGTAGCCATACGTCAGAGACAGGGAAACTGAGGCACAGTGACCAGTGGCCATACTGGGTGTAGAACTTGGACTTCCTAAATCCTCCCGAATCACAGGCCTGAGTGCTTCTCTCTCCTCTTCCCTGGCTTTGGGGGTTCAGCCTGCTCTGCTTTCACTGGGGCCCAGAAGGGAGGAGATTGGAGTATCTCTGAGCCCCCGTATGCGTTCAGTCACTCTCCTGTCCTCTGTGTGTGGGAAAAGTGAAGTCCTTCTAACACTCGCCTCCTGGGGCCAGGGTGTGGGTATGGTGTGTCCAGGAGGGCACCCCACGGTTTCTGTGTCTCAGATTTTTATTTCTTCAATGGCTATAGTAGACTTCCATTCCTTGTTTGGGGAAGAATGCAGCAGAACCTTCCAGAAAATGACTTCTCTTGATAACATTATCTCAGGCCCTAACAACAGTTAGAGAGACGTGGTTATTTCTCTGACACCATTTCTTTGGTCCCTACACAGACTCTATTTCAGCTAACTTGGAGACATGAGAGAAAGGGAAATGTTCAGGGAGAGAAGAAACTTGTAAGATGGTGTGTTAGAAATGCATATTTTACTCAGCTTTTCTCTGAGCTGGCTTTTTAGAAAAGCGTGAGTACCAGATCTGTTGACTAAGCCCCACCAAAGTTTAGGACTGACGGCTTCCTTACAGTTTGACGATTTTACATATCACGTTCCAGGGCTGCCTGGGGACGTGTGAAGCACAGCGGAGAATGTTTCCTCTGCACATGCCGACAGTATTCTCGAACGTTTGTAAACTGGCCGGGAAGCTTTTGCTGCTGAAATTTGGCCCGTGATCATCTCCCCCTAGTCTATTGACTTGTTCCAAACTACTAAAAGGTTGAATTTTAGAAGAGGGAGCCACACAAAATGTTTCTGGATAACGAATAGCCCTGAGGCAAGTCTTCCTTATACTCTTTCCAGCCCGAAGATGCTTCCCAATTCCTTAAGGAGAGAGGATGGAAGAGAAGGTAGGGTCTTGTTTGAGGTGTGCAATTGCTTTCCAGGGTCTCAAAAGAGAAGTATGGAAGAAGAAAGCTCTCCCTGGGCAAGGTTAGGGAACTGAATTCCTTTAGTGAGTTCATCCATCACACAGCATCTGCTGTGTGTGTGGTCACCAAGGTGCCATACTCCAGGCGCTGGGTCAGCCCCCCGGACACACTGTCTCTGAGGAGCTAGGCCCCAGGACTGTCCGAGAACCGAGAACAGAGCACAGTCACTATGATTAGAGTCAGAAGCACTGACCCTGGGCAAGGTCAGGACAGGCTCTGAGAGAATGTGTCCCCAGCTGTAACTCTTTTTTTTTTTATTTTCATTTTTTTAATTTTTTTATTAACTTTTTTACAGAGAGAAAAGAAGAGGGATAGAGAGTTAGAAACATCGATGAGAAAGAATCATCGATCAGCTGCCTTTTGCACAGCCCCCACTGGGGATGTGCCCGCAACCAAGGCACATGCCCTTGACTGGAATCGAACCTGGGACCTTTCAATCCTCAGGCCAATGCTCTATCCACTGAGCCAAACCGGTTTTGGCCCCAGCTGTAACTCTTAACGCCAGACCATCACTCGTTGTGCCTGAGAGATGATCAACCAGGCAGTCGTGGCTCATGGAAGATGGTCTCTTCTCTTCCCTTACTACGCTGTCCCCCTGTCTTCGGGCTGAGACTTTGCCCCCACCTGCCTTTTCCTCTTTGGCTTTCTCTTTGTCTCCTCTTGCCTTTTATAGCTCACTCCCACCATCCAGACTACAGGCTTGGACAATTGCAGACTTCCTGTAGAACCAAAGAATCTCTGTTGGATTGTTTTTTTTATTTTATTTTTAAATAATTTTTATTGATTTTTTTTTTTATATAGAGAGGAAGGGAGGAGGATAGAGAGTTAGAAACACTGATGAGGGAGAAACATCAACCAGTTGCCTCCTGCACACTCCTACTGGGGATGTGTCTCAACCCAGGTACATGCCCTTGACTGGAATAGAACCTGGGACCCTTCAGTCGGCAGGCCGATGCTCTATCCACTGAGCCAGACCTGTGAGGACGGGTTGTTTTATTTTTTAAAAAATGTATTAGCTATTATATTGTATTCTTTCCTCTTAATTAAAAAATTTAGATGAATAGAATATGTGGTTCTGAAATTAAAAAAAAAATTGTTGATGAATTCCATTGTCCTTAATTTAAAGAGAAAAAAAAATTATGGTCACTTATTGAAGAAAAAAAATTTAATGACTATTTTGAAATACAGAAGGGAGAAAAGGTCTTTGGCTAATCATAACATAAAATGTCAGTTTCTGGTTTTCCTTACTTGATTTTTATGTGAAAGGGTTTCTTGAGGAGTACCCATGTTATTTTAAGTTTTGGTTTTTTTTAAATCACTGTATTAGACCTTTGTTTATTTAAATCTGTAGAGGGTGACTGTTGGAAGCTCGCCAGCTGACTCATGTCTCCGGGGCATGAGAGCTAGATTCATGTAGTTTTAGGACCGTAACCGACTTGTGCTATACAGGGCCCCTTTCGTCCAAAGAGTAAATACATAAAATGTTTTTAAACACACTTACAGAGAACTTTCTATTAAATGATGAAGCTTTTTCTGAATACTTGTTTTTAAAAAAAAATACTCTTCTTTCACCCTCCCCAGTCTCAGCAGAGTATCTCTTAAGTATAAGTAGCAATTTCAGATTTCTCTTGTCAGACATACACACCCTTTTAAGAAAAAAATTTCTTGGCAAAAACACAGTGATCTTAGTATTCCTAATTCATGGTCTGATATCCTCTTTCAAATTTGACTTAAGTGAAAACCAAAGATTGATAGTATGTAAACGATGATGATGATGATTTGGAGCTAAATAGAACTACTTTCCTTTTGAAAAAGAGATTTTTAGCTTGAAATTTTATTTCCTACTCGATACCCCTACAACAGTGACTCTACACCTTTTTTGGTCTCTGGCCCTTTCTGGAAATATAAGAAAAATTGGGGATCATCTCCCCTAGAAAACACTCAAACACAAGAGCCCACCCATGCCAGGGGGCTCCCAGTACCCTCCGCTGACCCCTGGGGACCCTCCCGCATCATTCATGTTCTCTTCAGCGAAAGCCCAACTCTGCTTTTGGGGATGGAGTAGGAGAGAGGTCACAGACTGGGCAGCGTTCATACTCTTATTCAATAAAAGGAACTTATTTTTAAAATAAATACAGTGGCCTACGTTCTATTTTTAAAAATATATATTTTATTGATTTTTCACAGAGAGGAAGGGAGAGGGATAGAGAGCTAGAAACATCCATGAGAGAGAAACATCCACCAGCTGCCTCCTGCATACCCACCACTGGGGATGTGCCCGCAACCAATGCACATGCCCATGACCGGAATCGAACCTGGGACCCCTCAGTCCTCAGGCCGACGCTCTATCCACTGAGCCAAACCGGTTTTGGCAAGTGGCCTACATACGTTCTAATTTGTTTTGAAAAACTACAGTTCAGGTGCATAGTCCAAGAAGAAAGCAAACAAAGACACTAAGCGTGCGAGAGAGCTCGCGGATCTAAGTTTGCCATGGCTTTGCCCTTGCAGAGTCCCTCAGAGCTAGATAAGTGTGTCTCTCAGCACCGGGGCTATTGGAACTTGGCTCCTTCTGCTCTGAGTGGTTTTAAAATATCGTATTAATGTTGTGAGCTAAAGGCATGCGCAGTGCTTTCATCTCGTCGTCAAAGGAACGTAGTTGTTGTTTCCATTGTTGATTTACTATCTGAGAAAAAAGATCTGCCCGCCGAGTCAATGCAACAGATTCATGAGGGTGTCCCTGGGCCTGGTTAGTATTATTTCCCCAAATCTTAGATGAAAATGTTTATTTTATTTTTATATATTTGTGTTGATTTTTTACAGAGAGGAAATGAGAGGAATAGAGAGTTAGAAACATCGATGAGAGAGAAACATCGACCAGCTGCCTCCTGCACAACCCCTACTGGGGATGTGCCCGCAACCAAGGTAGCCCTTGACCGAATCGAACGTGGGACCTTTCAGTCTACAGGCTGATGCTCTATCCACTAAGCCAAACCGGTTTCGGCGATGAAAACTATTTTAATATTCACTCAATCTAGAGAGGGGGGGAGGAATTTCCCCATTAGAAGTTTGTGTTTGGATTCAAAGATCCATTGTAAGAGTTCTTCCAACAAGGCAGGGCTTCCTGCTTTGTTCTCTAATTGTGTTTAGTGATCAAATAGTTAATATGTGAAGAGGCTTGTGTGTCCGAGAAGCAGAGTTTCCTATGGATGAGAGGAACTTACGTTCGCTTGCTCGGGGCTAAATCTCAGCAGGATGGTGGTGTCAGGTGTTCCTTGCCAACTCTTTCCCGTTCGTTGTCCTTTTTTTAAAATTTATTTTAAATGAAAATAATTTGACCCCTCAGCTTTTTATGCCCTTGACCTTGGACATTCCTCAGTTTCCAAACCAGCCCCTGTGCATCCCTAACTGCACCCCTACCTAAGACAACAGCTTGGTTTGGCTCATGGGAAAGACAGTGGTTCCAATGGGGTTAGCTGGGCTGGGGGTTGAATATTTGCAAGCATTTCGTTTGCTTGTACGACTGCAGTTAGCAAACAAGTTCTCTGTCTGCTAATACGGTGTGGGCATGTGTGTTGGTAAGTAAAGTGCCCTCTCTTTCCTGCTGCCTAGTCTTTGGGCGCTCACCTAGACCGAGAGAACGTGAGCTAGCAAGTGGCTGTCAGAGTGAACTTGTTCCCTAACCCATCCTGTGAACACCAATGCTAACAATCATGTCTTGTGTCTTTTTTTTTTCCCCTTTTCCTTTTCTTTTCTTTTTATTTTTTTTTTTTAATCAATGTGCTTTCCCCCCCTGTGTGAATAATTATATGTCTAGAAACAGCCATGGAGTGATTTTGCTGTTCTGAATGGGGGAAAGATTAATAGTGACATTTGGAAGGCAAGTATATTGTCAGCTTTCAGATCATTTGCTGTGTCGCCCTTTGTGTGCATGGCTGTGGCTGCACCTTTCTCTCCTCTGCGAGCATCGTGCACTCGCATGCATTCGGCAGGGATGGAGTGATGGGGCTTCTTGCTAAAGACGCCCAGCTCACACACCCACATGGCCTTTTTTTTTTTCTTTTTTTTCTTTCTTTTTTTTAAGGTCTCCCCTTGCGAATGACTTCAGGCTGATTGCCCCGGGCTGCCTGCTGTCTGCTGAGCAGCACCTTGCACGGAGCCAGCACCCAGCAGCCCTTGCATGCCTTCTCCCACCTGAGCTCACGTGCACGCTGCCTCCTTGCGGGAGGGCTCTCCTTTCTGGTGATTGCCTGCAGCCGAGTCATGGGCCCTCCACTAACAGGCGTCTGTTTTCCCCTAGGACCTGCACGCGGCCACCGTGAACCCGGACCCCAGTCTCAAAGAGTTTGAAGGAGCCACACTGCGCTACGCATCTTTGAAACTCAGGTAGGGCCCTGGGACGCCCAGCTGTGAGGTGGGGCTTTTTTTGCCACCAAGAGTTTGCAATGGAATTCTAGGTCGCATTTCCTGATTGTTTGTGTTCTGTTTTTTTTGTGTGTTTTTTTCTAGAAACGCCCCTCATGCTGAGGATGACGATTCTTGTAGTATCAACAGTGACCCAGAAGCGAAGGTTGGTAAAAAGCGTGCTTTCAGCGAGGAGGTTATAGTCTCACCTCAAAGTAATGACTTTGGATAATGGCCCCCTTTCTTACAAGTCATCAGCCCAGAGCCACTTATTTAGTCATTATCCCGCGGTGCGCCGTCTTTCCTAATCTCCGCGCCACTCAGAGTAAATCCCCGTAGACCACGTTTGCTTTTGGGAGGATTTCTGTGATCTCCACCGCTCTGCCTGTGTCGGCTTTTTGCACAACGTGGCAGGTTAAAACTACTGTTTTATAGGAATCTCTTTCACGTCCTGCGTGAAACCAATTCAGGGTTGGGGTTCTGGAGAAGGGCCACACACAAATGAAAAGATTTAAATTCAATTTGGCGATATGGCGGGCCAGGCAGTAGTCCAACTCTAGGGGGAGAACTATCCCTGCTCTGGCCCTGTCATCCCCTTTTATTGAGGCTTTGGGGAAAACACCCATAGGGCTTAGGCAGGGAATAACAGAAACTTACACGGGACAAACAGAGATGGAGGCTGCTTCAGCTAACAATGTCTCAACTGAAGGGTGAGTGGTTAGAGCAATTAAGGTTGTTGACCAGCCTTCCTGGCTTCCTTTCAGCATCTCTCTTTAGTGAAACTGATTTGTTTCCAGCACTGTTTGATTGCGTGGGCTTCGGAACCTTTAAGGGTAAACCCGGTTCTGCCTCACAGGTGGTGTGAGAGCCCTCACGCCGCCTCCTCCAGGGTGGCCTCCGCCTGTGCCGGGCAAAGCCTCCTCGCCGAGCCTGTCCTCAGCGCAGGCACGCTGTATGATGGAAGCGAGAGTGAGCTGTTGCGTTTGGCCTTCCGATGGGGTCCCCAGGGCCAGCCGTGTGGGCTTGGTGTCATGCCGTGGGACGGGGCCCTGTGCTGGGAATCAGGGTTTCACTCAATGCAGTCGCCACCTTGACATTCGTAACCATTTCGTCTTTGACTTGTGCGTTGGTGAGTCCCGTGGGGCAGCAGGGTGTGCAGCAGGGGTTGAAGCCTTAGCTTGTGCACAGCCCTGCCACCTCCCTACCCCTTTCCCCACCCAGCCACCCCTCTGTTGCCTTCTCCCCAGGAGGAGCCTAGTGTGAGCGTGGGGAGAGTTGGTGTTGGGTACGTAAGCCCCATGGTGTCTCGAGAAGGGTCAGAGCAGCACTTGGGGTGTTTAGTGGGCGACTCTGTAGGGTGAAGCCTGCCTGCTCTCATTCTAGGGATCTAGCATGACCTGGCGCAGCGGTTGTAATAAACTTGAGGGACACCTGTCTGCTTTGGGTTGGGGGTTAGGGGTGTGAGTCCATAGAAAAGAGGGGTTCCTGGCTCAATTTCGCCACCTCTGGCCAGGGTGCAATGTAGCGGTCCAGCAGCTGGTGGGAGGGGGAACCCAGAGGATGCTGGTCTGTGGAGGTGGGCAGGGCCCCTGGGCCTGGGACGGTCTGCACTCACCCTGCCAGGATCCCGTGCCCGAGGGAGCGTGACAGTAAATAACAAGCTAAGCACACCTTAAGGCAAGAGACAGAGAGAGAGAGAGAGAGAGAGAGAGAGAATGCCAAAGTGAGAGGTTTTGTCTTTTAATACTTTTACAGCGTGTTTTTTTTTTCCTGCTCTTTTGAACAAGGCGGCCCCAGTTTTCATTTTCATTTGCTAATTATGAAGCTGGCTCTAGGTATTCTTTGTGAATCACAGAGCAGATCTGTGTCTGTGAATAAAACGGGACAGGCTCCCTTAGTGGCAGTTACGCCTCGCAGGCCCAGAGCCTTGACTCCCCTGCTGGAAACTGCCGAAGTGCCGTGGCTCCGGGAAGGCGCGCAGGGTTCGTGGTTGACGGCTCCACGGCTCCTCATCTGCTCGGCTTCATTCCAAGCGCAGCCTGAAGGCTGCTGGGAGCCAGCAGTGTTCTGTTTGGAAGGAGTCCTTGGCCTGCCGCTAGCATGGTAGCCTTTTTTTTTTTATATATATATATATATATATATATATATATATATATATATATATTATTGATTTTTTACAGAGAGGAAGGGAGAGAGATAGAGAGCTAGAAACGTCGATGAGAGAGAAACATCAACCAGCCGCCTCCTGCACGCCCCCTACCGGGAATGTGCCCACAACCAACGTACATGCCCTTGACCAGAATCGAACCTGGGACCCTTCAGTCCGCAGACCGACACTCTACTGCTGAGCCAAACCGGTTTCGGTGCATGGTAGCTTTTATTTTATTTTATTTTTTAAACTAGTGGCCCAGTGCATGAAATTCGTGCACATTAAAAGGGGATTCATTAGAGGAAATAATTTAACATTGCTGTTTGCCCTTTCTCTGTAATAGAAATATCAGAGATGAAAGAAAGTTAGTGAAATGTACTGTATATGAAAACCTTCCTCCTGTCAGAGTCTGGGGCACGCCACGGGAACCAGAGTCAAGTCCCCGCCCACCCGTATGCACCTCAAAATCGCGTGAGACCCAGACCTGACCGGTCCCCCTTATTGGGCTAGATCCGGACCCTACCATCCCACCCTTGTCAGGCCCTGCCAAGCAGGGGACATAGCCTCAGGTCCCCTGTCCAGCCCTGCCGGGCGGGGGACACAGCCTGAGGTCCCCTGTCCAGCCCCACGGTGGCGGGGCAGGGCGCGTTGTCAGTGAGCATCAGTCTGTGTGCATTGAGGGTGAATGGCACAAACCTCTAGGGTAGGGGTGTCGAACTCAATCAGAGAAGGGGCCAAAATCTAAAATCCAGCCTAAATCGCCGGCCGAATGGTTTACTGAACAGTCATAAACTGTCATTGTGATGGAAACGCAGCGGAGTGCAGTGATGACAGCGCGGTGCGGGCCACATTGCAAGGCCTGGCTGGACGGATTTGGCCCGCGGGCCTTGTGTTTGACACATGTGCTCTAGGGCAACTCAGAATCTTGGAGGGACTTCGGCAAAGGGCACCCGCTTCTCCCTCCCCCGCCCACCCAGGACCTCGAGGTCTTCGTGCCATAGGAAGTCTCTGTTCCTGTTGAGAACCCCAAGCATAGAGGGAGGGGGAAGGGGCTCTGAACCCCACTTTATACAAGTCACACCGTGCAGGGCGCAAAGGCCGTTCCTTGTGGAGTGTGATGGTTTTTCTGGTACCTCGTCCTGGAATCACTGTAATCCTGAGTCTTCATGGAGGGCTAACCTTTTGTCAGGCGTGGTTCTAAAGATTTATTTCCTGCAGAGACCGGTTTGGCTCAGTGGATAGAGCGTTGGTCTGCAGACTGAAAGGTCCCAGGTTCGATTCCGGTCAAGGGCATGTACATTGGTTGCGGGCATATCACCAGTAGGGGGTGTGCAGGAGGCGGCTGGTCGATGTTTTTCTCTCATCAATGTTTCTAGCTCTCTATCCCTCTCCCTTTCTGTAAAAAAAAAAAAAATATATATATATATATGTATATATATTTAAAGATTTATTTCCTTTGACTCTCACCCTCACAAAAACGTAGGGGGCCGAGCACCGTTGTCCCCATATTGCAGATGTGGACACCGAGGCCTGGGAAGCTCAGCGGCGAATCAGTCGCGGAGCCAGGATGGGCGCCCAGGCCATTGGGCTCCTGCGCCCTCGCCCACGAGGCTGTCCGGAGGAGTCTCACGGGGAGCTTTATTTGGGGGCCCCCAGCAAATAATGTGACCAGCGTCCCCCACGAATGCCAAGCCCTCAGAGACGGGGAGGAATGTGGGTATGTCTGTCGGTATGTCACAGCACTCGTCACTGGGAAGAAAGGACAAACATCCAACCAAACTCCTTCTCCGAAAACCGGCGGGGGTGTGTGTGTGTGTGTGTGTGTGTGTGTGTGTGTGGACCCGCCTGCCGGCCTGACCTGAGGCCGAGATGAACTCTGGGCTCTAGAAGCTCCGTGGGTGCGGTGTTCTCAGGCCCCTCCTCGGTAGTGTCATTTCAGTTGGTCTTGCGATGAGGGTGGCCCCGCAGCGGGAGGAAGGGGGGGTCGGAGTGGAGGGGGTGTGCGTCGCTGGTGATTGGCAGATGTACATGCTTTGGGGCCACCGCCTAGTCCCCTTTGCAGACACTGAGCTGTTGTCCTGCGTGCTTTTCGGGGTGCACCGTCAAGCCACCGTTCATGGAATCTGCCAAGGGAAGCCCTGTGGGGAAAGCCAGGATGTCCTCTCAGAGTTAGTTATTTCAAAATCCAACAGCCCTAATGCATTTGCATTTCACGAATTTCGAAGAAGCCAGTGAGTTTAGGATTTGGATAGAGCCACTTTGGAGGAGTCCCCCTCTCCCTCCTCGACTCCCACATCAATCCCCTCCCTCCCATTCACGCTCTTAGTTGCTCCTCACCTATTTAATGTTGCCTTGGGCACCTAAGAGGGGCCCAGTGACTAGAAAACCAGGATTTTCCCAATGTTCAAGCTTTGTAGAAGTAACTTCTTTAGATAAACATTTACGCCGTGTACTAGGAAGCTGAGTGCAAGCCCTCCCCCCAATAAGCAGAAAGTGTGTCTGTAATAATAAAAGCATAGCATGCTAATTAGACCAGACAGCCAAACGACACTCTGGATGTCATTCCAGATGTCCTTCTAGATGAAGCCACGGTGGCAAGGGCCGAGGCAGGGGTGGTTAAGGGAGATCAGGCAGGCAGGCAGGCAAGCAGAGTGGTTAGGGGTGATCAGGCAGGTGAGCAGTTAGGAGCCAGCAATCCGGGATTGCAAGAAGGATGTCCAACTGCCAGTCAGACATCCACCAAGCGGTCCTGGATTCTAAGAGGGTGCAGACCAGGCTGAGAGACCACCTCCCCCGTGCACAAATTTTGTGCACCCAGCCTCTTGTCTTCAAAAGAAGAAATATTTAATTTCATGTACCGTGAAATTCTAAGGGTAGTCCCTGAGGAGTGGATCCTTTAAAAAATTATTATAGAAAGTTTCTTCTTTATTCCCTACATGAGACTTACTTCCAAAAAGATGAAACTCATTTTTAGACGGTTAGGATGTAGACACCTCCCAGTCCTCTGTGAGTCTGGG